TGATCTCTTTACCGTGCTTGAGGTTTAGAGCAATCCGATTCGATTGGCAGTGGAGGTGACTCAGCTTTTGGGTTCAATAGAACGAAACTGAAGGGCTCAACATTGCAGCCCCTATCACCGTGAGTCTCTATTCACATTCTATTTGTAGATTGCACGTGTCATGGCTGCTTTCTTTTGAGTACTGCAATTTGATTTGGCAATAAAGGTTTGGGTTCTTGGGAGAGTTCCACTTTCTGATGACTTTCTGCATAGAGGGATCTCAAGGTTCCTTAATTGTAGGATTTTAGCATGTTTCGTATGTCTGAATGTATTCTTTCTCTATTAAGAAATTGACCCAAATGCGTATACCCTTTTTTTTAATTTGCTCTGAAGTGTATTGGAAAATCATATTGCTCAATGGTTTTGTTATAAATTCATGGTATGATTTAACACCTATTTGATATGGATCTTGCTTGCTTGGCATTTGCTATTGGTGTTGTCCTTGGAGACCTATATTGCTGAGAAGGATGAAATTAGAAAGAAACCATATATCGATTTATATCTGTGAAAAACATCAGTAGTTGTTTTGTCATGTTATTAAGGTGCCTTTACTCACTTAATTGTCTTGCATTCCGTTGAAATTGAGCATTTCGTTCCCATTCATAGAGAAGCTCCTTCTTTTGCTGATAACGACAGATTCTTCTTACAGGAATCAAGGTATTTTTTTCCCTTCACTTTCTCACATGCATTTTCTCTCTGTTCATTGGAATATATTTTCGCTCTTTACCTTACGGCCTCTTCTTCATATCTAAGAATGTCATATAAAATGAATGGTTCTATTTTGCCTGAAGGTATTTTCTTTACAAAGTTCTCCTGTGCGCAAACTTGATGGCAAAAAGCTTGTTACTGCATATCATTGTGAAAATGAGTGTGAGATCTTCCACAATGTTATTTTTCTAAATGAGATCGTTTGTTTTTTGCTGCTTAAGGTGTTGACTTCCAATTTGAGTTGAACAATTTTTCAAGTTTTAACAAAAATAAATTAGCCTATAAAAAATAAATTAAATTATGAGGCAAGAAGATGTCAATGACAGTCAAAGGGCTTCTATTTAACATGATAGCAGGACATTATGTAGTTGCTTTTAATGATACTTTTTCCAGTGCATATGATGATAATATGTGTTGATGCTTGAACCTTGTGCTTTTAACAAGAGATGGGGAAAATACTTATGTGTTGATGCTTAAATAATGTATTTGATATATGATTGTGTTTTTTTTTTTTGGGGGGGGGAGTTATTAAGAGACAAGTTAAAGTTGATTAAGCAGTATAAGAATACTGTGAAGATATAGGATACGTCTGTGTCATTTAACCAAAAATTAAGAAATGAAACTTTGCATCGTATCGGTCAATGCTCATGTTATGTAATTGCTCTATTTAGTCATGTGGCAGTAATTACTTAAAGTTCCTACAATTGAAGATATTATGCGATAATATTGCGTTGAGACAGAGATTAAGTTCATATTGTTAGTAGGGTAATTGTGGATATTTTTCTGAACATCCACGTCTACTTTGTTAACTTGTAAAAGCAAATAATATGACAATTATTTCGCTCATTCATCGAATTTAGGCATTATGTAGTTGATAATATGTTTTTTAGATTAGCACCGTAGATGTTGGCAAAAAAAAAAATCACTACGAGAAAAAAAAATATCTTTTACACGGGTTAAAATAGGCTTTTAATTGGCAATGCGACTAGCATAAAAACGGTTGGTGTTAAAAATCCCGATTCTTTACACTGATAGGCTAACTTGTATAGAAAATGTTGTTTTTGATACCAATTATGATATCAACTATTAGAAATTAAAAAAAGGCTAACTTCTTAGACCTTCGATCTAAGAAGTGAATATCTATTACAAGCATAATTCATGCTTAAATTTCAATTCACCTACGCATGAAAAACACACAGAAATAAATTTTGAAAGACAAAGTCTAAAGCTAGTTAACAGTTAGCTAATATAAGAAAAAACAGCAATGTTAATGCACAAATTATAAGTTACTAACTAGCAAGTTAACAAACAACAATAAATACACCAACAACAATGTCAATGACAAAAATGAATGAAGGAATGACTTATCTAAGCTGAGAGGGAGTGCATCACGTGGTAGATGCCAAAAACCCTACGATGTCGATGGTGATGATACAGATGTTAAACAAAACGAGTGCGGGTATTATGGTTTAGGCAAATAGCTTATAGGAGAAATAAAACAACAATGATGTTACTTGTTGCAAGAATAGAATTGTGACAGCAATGGGAAAGAAAGGGATGTCGTGAATACTCCATGACATCCCACCACAGCTCAAGGGGAGAGAGCGCAAGCCGTGAGTATGTCCTGAGGCCGCAAAAAAGAGTGCGAGAGAACCCTTATATTGCTAGGGCAAAAGTTTTACATGTGATATACCTAGAGACTAGTATCGATTTTACATATTGCATTGCAAAAAAAAGAATCAGTGCAAATGTTTATTAGTAGATCTATTTTCACCATAACTGATGTATATTTTATTAAACCAAAATCTAGAAAATTACCTCTGTGTTATCTAACTCAGTAAAGTTTTAGGGTTAGGTTTTACCAAAGATACATCAGTAAAATGCAAAAAAAAAAAAATGAAATTAGATCACAAAATAGCTATATATATTATATAGAGATTAGGGACATGGAGGTCCTTACAAAATATTTCAAAGAAATTACATTTTTATAATAAAAAAACAACTAATAAGAAGAGAGGGCGTCTTTGGAGGAAGAGGAGGAGGCGGCAGCAAAAGGATTGCCCAAAATGTCATACTCGATGTGCCAGTCATCAAGTAAGAGGTTGACATTTGTTGTGGAAGGCATAGAAATAAGAGATGACACATCAAAGGCTAATGCCAGTTGGAGGGAACACATAGGAGAGGTGGAGGAGGAGGAGGGAATGGAGGATGCACTTGGAGAGTTCTCGCCATTGTGGGGCTACTGCCAGTTGAATTCAACAATGATGGAGGTAAATAATACTCCTCTTATCCTATTTATAAATCACTTTCAATATATTTCACACAGACTAAGAAAAACTTTAAACTTTATTAATTTTCATTTAAAATTCAACAACTTTTCACCTTTAACCCTATTTAATATACATTATACCTCATGTAAACAAAGTGAATACAATAATAAATGGAGGATAAAATTGTACATTCATACAAAAAATTTCTTTCAATGCCCTATAAATAAGATAAAAAAATGTCTTTTCCCCCTGCTCTATAAATAGAACCAGAAGAGTAGTTAGGTTCTGACTATAAATAAATAGTGACAAGTCATGATGACCTTTCAAGTTTAGAGACGTTACTTCATAGGAAAGAAAGCAAAAGAGACAAGCTTATCTGGTCAGTTCAAACACCAGTTATTTATAATAACCGATATTTTGAAAGCTTATATCGGTTGGGTAAAAGTTCGTTGTAAATAATAAGCGTTGCACAGGTCGTTCTAATAATTGATGTAAACAGTGTATAGTTATTGACGAAAATAACAAGCCTCGTTTGTCACATCATTCGGACAAAAATCGGGGTACATGAGGCGGTGTAAAAAAAGTTTTCCTCGTATGCACTTTAGACTTTGTTTTCGTTGACGATGATATGTGCGTGCTTATCACTATTTTGCATTTTCAATTGAATTTTTGTGTGTCATACCTTGAGATTGATAAACTTTCTATGCTTTTAGAATAATACTTCTTTTTTTGAGGGATAGAATAATAGTTTTTAAAGAACAAAAATATTAGCAAAGAAGATGCGAGAAAGAAGAGTGGCAGCTTGTGATGGGTTCAACTCATACAGTACGAGGCACAAAGACATGTTTCTAGGTTGGCTGGCTGAAAGTCAACTTTAACAAACTTTAATCAGGCCCAGTCATCTTTTTCTTAATTATTTTTTTTATATTTTTCTTTCACCCAATATCGATAAATTGTTTTCATAATAAATAAATATCTATAAAAAAATTAAGATAAAACTAATGTAATCTTTTTGTATGGAATATTACTAATCACAAGGATTTTAAATTGTCTTCATCCGAATATGATTATTGACGGTGGTTGGCAAAAAAAAAATATATTGATGATAATTTGATCATTTTAGCATATGAAACTACTGTAAACTTCCTCAAATACAAGAAAATTTTTACTCTTACACTAACAGAATGCTAGTTAAAAATAATGTTCAAATAAACAAGAATTGGCATTAAAATCATAAGATGTCAGTGTAAAATTAATTCCCGCTAATTTATATAAACCAGGTTGCTTGTCGTTGCAGCGTAATAGTATAATAACATGACCTTGTCAGAATTTTTTTTTTTGGGTAGTTGCAGATCAAGGTTTATCAAACTAGTTCTAAGAAATAATTTCAGCTAGTGATGGTATTGTTTGATTCTCTTTTTCGGTTTTCATGTTTTTAAAATAGTTTTATAAATTTTTTTTAAAACATGTTTTAGCGTGAAAACAAAAAATTTGTTTGGATATTTTTTAATTTATAAAAAAGCTGCATTTGAAAAATGAAAAAACACAAAACTTGTTTAAAACAAATTGTTTTTAAAATCAATTTGAAGAACTACTCATTGATATAAGGTGAGAGATAGAGTCGAGAGTGGAGTAGCAGCCGTGGATGGAGTGTTAGGGGGCTGAATGACTGCGTAGAAAAGAGGAGCCATTGAGAATGTGAGCATGAGTGACAGAGTAGCGAGCACAAACTACAAGAGAAAGTAAATTAAAATTTTAAAAAACAACAAAACACAAAAAAAAAAAAAAAATTCTGAGAATTTATTTTCAAAAAAACATAATTCTTTTTTTTTTTTAACAGAAACTTAATTGAAAACTGACCATGAAACAAGTTTTTTATCTTTTGTTTTAAGAAAAACTGTTTTCGGGACAAAAAAATCAAATAATGCCTTGATTTCACTTAATTTGTGATTCAACAAACAAAGGAAAACAAAGTGATTTGATTCATATCATCAATTGATTGGGGTTTACATCCTCACCCTTATCTAGTAAGCACAAGTTCTCCACATGATTACCGATAAAAACACTGCCATCTAAAGCTCTTAGGACCTTGGTTGTTGAAGTTGATGGATTGTATCTAACAAACTGGCCAGCTCTTTTTTCTAGTATTATGTCCCCATTCTTTCTTATATCCAACACTTCTATTGGATGCAGCTCATTTGTTGAAACTTTATTTGTCCATGATCCATCAATCCCATATTGTTTCATAATCCACACGGACCATATTCTTTCACTAAACTTGTTTTTCTTCTTTGACGACACAGCAATTGAATCTCCCACTGCCATTATTGAAAGAGAATATGCATCGTTGGCAATACTTCTAGGAAGTAATATTTCGCCGAAAACTTCGTGCGTTAGATCAAATGTAAGTACAAACGGATAACCTTCTATTTTGTTCCAAACAATCCAATGAAGTGCACCATTAATAAGCACACGATCAAATGAACCCTCTTTGAGATCGCGAGGAGGAGGAGGAGGAATACCGGTGACATGTTTCCATGACCAATTGAGGTACGAGAAGACATAAGCCGAATCAATTGAACTAACTTCATAATTATGACAAACAAGGACTACAACCTTAAAATCATTGCTCCTACGATTAAAACCAAACGCTAAAACTGATCGATGTAGATCCCAAGTCAATAATGTGAGTCTAGGAAGAAAAACATATCTTTGAATTGTTGGGTTCCAAAGGACAAAGTTGATGGGTGGATGATCAACAAAACATATTATACCGTTGCTTGTGCCCATCCTCGTTAATCCCCTGTAGCCCTCAATGATAGGACTTTTTACTGTGCGAAACAAATCGAATTGGTCATTATCCAAATGTAATGAATAGCTGCCTTCAAATTTCACTATACTTTCACGAACGGATTCACTTGATTTGGTCTCTTTGGGTCGGTAACATTTAATGAGGAGGACTTCTTTTTTGGAATCAAAAGCTCGATTTGAATGGCCGGATATGAAATTAGGACTAGTAATAAGAGAATTCCAATCTCTACAAATGAAGACGCATTGAATTAGGGTTTTGCCATCTAGGTTGAGCAGAATTTCTTCGACAATGTGGAGAGGAATAAAAGGATTGTTTTGTGACATTGTGGATTTGGAGTTCAACGTGAGGTCGACATATAGTGATAACATGCACACACACACAAAAATATATATATATATATATATATATATGCATAAGATATCAATGGGTTCTGAAATAGATGACGATGCGTATGAGGCGATAGGCTATTCTAGTTCGGTGATTGAGAATCCAGAATTCAGGGTTTGTGGTAACGTGGTAGGCTAGCAAAGCTTGGACTATATATATAGCTAGCTATTATTGGTATATTTTTATGTGACTTTTAATTGGTCTATATTCGGGTTTAGTAAACTTACAAAAGATATTGATGTAGGTGAAATAATACTAATAATGCAAAAAAAATATCATAATGTTCTTTAATTTTTTTTTTACTTTTTAAAATAGGTTTATCACATTAAGTTGAACCTTTTTTATTTAAATAAAGGAGCTCTTAATCTTTGATTCCGGCTCATCAAAAGAAAAATAAAGTAGTAGATGTACACAGAATTTTATATATCTATCATAATCCTCGCAAAAATATGGTCTTTACACATTATTTCATATCCATCTATTAATAAGTGTGGATGAATACTCCCTAGTTATCTCAAAAAGGCATACACTGCATATGTGCAGATATAGCTTTTGCACATCTCATATAAATTATGCTGTTTGTACCTACTAGCCATAAGTTCAAAGATATAGGTCTTGTTTGGTTCCTATTTTTAAAACAATGTTTAATTTTTAAAAGCAAAAATTTTAAAAAAACCAACTTGGTTGATAATTATTTTTCAGTTAAATTTTTTGTGAAATAGAAAACAAGAATATATATGTTTTCAAGACAAAAAAAAAAGGGATAAGGTCTAATTTTGCCTCAAAAGTATTCGCTCATGAGTTATGAGTATCCGAAAGTTTTTTTAAGAGTAATATTACCCCGAAAGTGTTAAAAACGTAGCAATGTCACCCATCCATTAACAAAGTTGATTTTGAACATTGATAAACCCAATTTTGATGAGTTGGCCTCGACACATAGGATTTAATGCCGCATATTATCAACTTTTATGTTATGACATGTCAGCATCATCTTCCTTCCCTTCACTTCTTCATCCCTGTACTCGTTTGACTCCGCCCCACGTCTTCTCAAAACTTCCCTTTATTCCTTCATCCACTCCCATCCCTCTCATGTTTATCACCTTCATTTTTTGTTGTTTCCTGATTGCTCTGTTTTACGATACTAAGTACAGGGGTGGTCCTCACTCTCACTCTCACTCTCTCTCTCTCTCTCTCTCTAAAACTCCAAAAAAGCTGGAAAAAGTATGTACTCTGACCAAGCGGTAGGTCAGGGCAAAATTATTCTTAAATTCATATTCAGAATCATAATAAGTTGATACACTTGGCGGAGATATGTGTGTATATATATATGAGCACTGCAACAAAGGCTTAAATTTATTTTACACTTAGAAAGAAATAATGGGCAATATATTATCAATATATAACTTGACGATTATGATTACACATTATATATAATAGAGTTGTTATATATTTATAGAGGTATACCTAAAAAGAGATTCTTGATGGAAGAAGAAACAGCGACTTTGGCTCTTACAAACCCACTATGATGACATCGTACACTCCATCCCCTACCTTGAACTCCTCTACTGCGCCTCCCACTCTAACCACTATACCAGCAACATCAAAGCTTAGAGTATAGTCTGAATTTGATGAAAACCTGATCGTCTTAAGCTCTGGTAATGGCATGCTTGGGTCTAGCTTTAAGACCTCTGATGGGTTCCCATATTCAGAGTAGACCCAAGCTTTGATATGATGCGGTGTGTTAGGAGTAGTTGTAGCAGTCATGATGGTGACAGAGATAAGAAATCCAAAAGACTGATTTTTTAATGGTGTGGGAGGAGAGATGCAGGGCAAGTGGTAATTTATGTTGAAGTTACGATGAAGAAACAAACACAAGGAATGGCAAGACTGGCAATGGTGAGGCCAAAGATGATATCAGAACGAAGGAGGTTGAGGGAATAGTGAGGGGCCCACTGGATAATGGGGAAGGGATATTGGAAAGCAAGGTTTGGTGAGGCAAGAGATGACATTATTGGAGAGTGATCTCTATTTTCTTGTTGCCGCCGGGTTAAGGGGAGAGAGACGTTAGAAGGAGGCGTCGAACTTGAGAGGGGAGGAAATGGATGAAGCAGTGAAAGGAAGGTTTGAGAAGAAGGAGGTGGGGCGGAGCTGAGATTCCCACGAGTGCAGGGGTGAGAAGTGAATGAAGGGAAGGAAGATGATACTAGCATGGCGTACTAGGTGGGTAATATGTGGGATTATATTCTTTGTGCAGAGCCAACTCAACAAAATGGGGTCAACTAATGGTCAAAATCAACTTTACTAACGGATGGGACGATATTGCTATGATTCTAACACTTCCGGAGCAACATTGCTCCTAAAAAATACTTTTAAGTTACCCACAGTTGCGAATACTTGGGATAAAATTAGACCTTATCCCAAAACGTTAGTAACTTTTATATGTTTTCTTATTTGTTTATCTTTTGTTCAGTAAAATTGTTTAATAAGTAGAGATCCTTATCTCAGTTTGCATACTGTCATATAAATTGATATAGCTTTTGCACATCTGATATAAATTATGCTTTTTGTACCTTCTAGCCATGAGTTTTCAAAAAAGGGTAAGGTGCAATTTTGCCCCGAAGTTTTTATTTAGGAGTACTTGGTATCCGAAATTTTTCAAATTGTAGTAATACAGCCCCAACTATTATTCATGTTGAATTTGATTATTGATTAACTAAATATGTTGAGCTAGTAGATCCACATGTAATCCACTTTATTTTTTTTAAGGTGAGGATTTAGTATTAACTCTAGAAAAATCATTACTTCTATGCTTTTCAAGCCCATGGCTATTCCTAAAATTGACCTCATCATTTATATCTTTCAAGAATTCTTATGAGCTTTTCCTCTACACGTATTACTTACTATATTTTTATACTCTACTTTTGTTCTTATAAAAGTACTAAATTAAGAGCAAATAATGAAATAATAAACCAAAAATGAAGTGGATAACTCAGGAAAAAAAATGAACTGGATCACATGTGGATCTACCAGCATAGCATATTTGGTTAATTAATGATCAAATTTAATATAAATAATAGTCGGGGTAACATTGCTGCAATTTAGGAACTCCCAAATACCAAGTGCTCCTAAGTAAAAACTTTAGGACAAATTTGCACTTAACCCAAAAAAGAAAATGATATAGATGACATGTGAACATGCCAACTCAACATAATTGGTTAAATAATATTCAAACTTAACTTAGATAACAGCCGGGGGACATTCCTACAATTTGAAAACTTCTAGAGCGATATTGAACCAAAAAATACTTCTGAATACCTAGTGTTCATAAGCGCAAACTTTCAAGATAAATTTGCACCTAATCCCTTTCAAAAATATAGGTCTTGATTGATTTCCTATTTTCAAAACAATTCTTAATTTTTTTTAACAGCAAAAATTTGAACCAAAAAAAAAACAACTTGGTTGATGATTATTTTTTAGTTACATTTTTTGTGAAACAGAAAACGAAAATATGTTTTTAAAACTGAAAAAAAAAGCAACTTTTACATGTTTTTTAATTTGTTTTTCTTTTTTTAATAAGTAAAGATCTCTTATCTTTAAGCTCTTGCTTCTCAAATCTCAGTATGCATGTTGTCTCCACTCTCCAGTTTGCTAGGTACTCACTGAAGCTGATTTTATAGGAAAAATAAATATATGTATGCTTACAAGCCATGCGGAGAGATTTCTAGTAAACATACTTTCCAGGTTGTAGACTTTTTCAATGGAGATTTAAATTTTCCCTTCTATCGATGATTATCAGGCAAAGCAATATGATCAAGAGAAGTCAAATTTCCAATATTATAAGAAATAGTGCTCGCCGAGTTGTTGCCAAAGAGATAACTGGATTGCTTGAAATGGCTTTAAAACAGTATTTTAAAAGTCAGACTAGATGTTAAACATTTAAAGCCAATAGATTATGGTTCAAATGGTTAAATCGGTCGTTTGGTCATACCAGTATCATAAAAATTAAATTAAAGATAATGTTATGTAAATATAATAAATGTATGAAATTAAAATATCAAATTCTTAAATAACATAAAAATAAATTCAAATAGTTTAATTTCATAATGATTTTCTTGTAAAGAAAAACTTCACAAGGATTTTGAGTTTTTTTCTTTCTACTCCCAATTGATTTTAAGCCTTTTTTGCCAAAAATTGATTTTGGGCCTTCACTACACAGTATGCTGGACTAATTATAAGAAGAAAAGTTTAGAAAACATAAAATAAATTTTGACTGATAAGTATGGGATAAGAAGAATTTACTATTTAGAGACAGAAAAAGTGAGTTGTCTCAGAACCGGTGAGATGGGCACCTAAGTCTCATCCTATCTGAATTGTTCAAATCTGATCAGAATAGTCCATATTTAATATCAAAGATAAGTACCAAAATAGTTCCGCTGTTTCGGGGTCCCAAGCAACAGACCTTTTGGAGAGAGAGAGTGAGTTGCTGCAATCTTTCATAGGCGTCGTCATTATCTGAGGCATACAACATCGGGCAAGGGATGTCGTGACAGAGGGAAGAGCAAAGCCCGCTCACTTGGTCATGGGAAAAGATTAACCAAAGAATAACTAATGTCAGGGAAAAGAAAGCACGGAGAACTGAAGAAGATCGGGTATTTTGGCAAGTGAAAGTGTCAAATCATATCAAAGGAGTGACGAAATGCACCATATCTGAAGACTGAAGGATTTTTTGGGCAAAAAAAGGAAGCTTAAAACCATTCAATTTACTCAAATCCGTTCTGGTTCTTGACTCAAATATGGGTTCCGACTCAAAAGCCTACTCAAAACGGATCAATCTGGCTGAAGTCGCAACGCCACCTAAAGTATTTGAACGGACCACTAGTATCACTGAGTGACGCTTGGACAGGTTGGACCATCCGATCCAGTCTGTCTGATATGG